GGGGGGGGGAGTGGTACTCTGTGGGGAGGCAGAGCCCACCTCCTCCCCACCATTATCTGTGATGAACTCATAATGAGTCAAATGATTGACAGCCTGATCAGTGTACTGCTGTCAGAAAACTCAACTCTTCTACAGGTTGCTGCATGTTGTTCTGTGCCTTCCTTAGCAAGTCTGTCGTGTGACTAATTTCTCTTTTTAGGTGGAGTTCACAAATGTAGACCAAGCATACGAATTTACAGAAACCTGAAAGTCCAACTATATGCAAATGTTTGAAGCTTTGGAGTGGGAGGAATTGTTAAACCTCTGCCAGATTTTTATTGATGTTTCTATCCCCACTGGAGAGATTTAAGCTCCTCGTACACTGGTTGAATTTTGGCCGAGTCATGCTGTCTTGGCTGAAAATCGACCGGGGTGTGACCCCCCGCAAGATCCCCCCACCCCAAGCTGGTCCAAACATTTTTGGCTGAACAGTCCCTGCAGCCAACATGTTCCTTCTGTTGAGGGGATAGGAACACCAATGGATCAAATTTCAACCGATTTATGCTGAATTGGCCGAAATTGGCTTGGTGTGTACCCAGCTTTACCACCAGCCTGTGTCCTAGAAAGAGAAAAAAACAACCTCCCCAATGGAAACAGACAATGACATTTTGACAGATTTGTAACCCATCCCCTTTGATTTTAAGGTATATTTATATGATTTGTATCTTTGTTGGAGCAATGCATAATTAAAGTCCTCCTTATGTTTTCCCACTCTTTGGAAACCAAACAAATATGTTTTGCCTTACAAAATCTGGTGAACTTACATGGCTCTGCGATGTGTTTGTGACACCCCAAACTGTAGTAACCACTGAAAGAGATCCTGGGGGCTGACTTGCGTTCTGTTGCCAAGAGACAGAGTCATAAGGGAAAGATCCATCACTGTGAAGTAAGAAAATAAAAGTGAAGTACAATGTGTCCAACATGGGCCAACCATTCTTAAATGCATGTAGTCGGGTCATCAACTTTTTAGTTTTCATGTGTAGAAAATAACTAATGTATTAAGATGTAAACTTACCTGTGGGACAGGGATGGTTTCATAGAGGTCAAAGAATTCATGGGGGGCTGCATGGGGAGTTTCCCTGGGGGGTCGCTTTGTCTGCTCTTCTGGTGACGTAGAAGGAGAAGCCTTCCCAGCTCTTCACACCACGAAGAAAGGAGGGCTGCAAAAGGGGACAGTAGTTCTGTAAGTCACTGAAATATTGTATTCAAAAAATTAAACAGCACATAACAGCCTCCTATATTAACATTCTTTGAGCCCTACACCAAGGTAAACAATGCTGTAATAACTGCACCGTAGACTTAACAAAATGAAACTTTGGGGAGATGATGTACACAGCAGCAAGGCACAATACTTCCACCATTTCCATATTTTGTGCATAACAGAAAAAGTCAAAGCTTAACCATATTTCCTTCTGGTCGAGTGCAGTTGTGATAATGCTGCTACCGCAGCACTATCTGGCATCCCGCAGATTTACAGCAAACAGTGCATTGTGTCATCCATCTAGTTGCGTTTAAAAATAAGCAATGCAGGCGGGGAATAAAGGGATGGAGAGAGGCTAAGGCTCAGCTTGATACATGTGGCTCTGACACGTACAGACAAAAAACAGACGGCTAACAGGACCATAGCAGACACTGGGGAGCGCACGCCTCCGTAGTGTCACACTTGCTGCCTCTTCCCTGCAGGCTGAAAGGCAGCAGCACGGCGTACACAGTAACAATGACAATGATGTAGTCTAACAGAAGGGGAGTGGCGAACATTGCTACAGAGCAGATATAGAGATCATACTACAGATGTCAATCGCCACCGGCTGCAATTTAAAGCCTATGCCTGTATTCCGCACTACTCTTTCACTGCTAGCAGTAGGTTTTGTGCCATCATGTAAGCAACTAGGGAAAATACCACAAGCTGAGAAAAAAAGGGAATATGCATCTGTCTAGCTATATATACATATATATTTATTAACGTGCACTTTTTATTTATAACGCTCACAGCTAATCTTCATTATCATAAAATGCACATTATAGATATATATATATATATAAATAAGAAATTCAGAAATTCAGCAAAGAATGATGCAGAGTACTAGAAATGGTTGCATGCCTTAACCTTAAGAGATTATGGATTTACTCCAGAAGCACATCACAAACAATCCACTAGAGGGCGCAGTGTCATAGGGTTAAAGACCACTTGTTGTGTGTACTTTGCACACACACCTAGCTTAGGCATATACCGTACGTGCATTTTACTTTTTCCAATCTCTTACAAAGTGAGCCCCTGTGGCTACAATGGTCATGGATCTGCTTTGCCCTGGGCACACAAACAGATTTGTAGCAGTTAAGAAATGACATAGGTAATAAACATTATGGAGTGCAGACAAATGGTGTTAACACAGCTCCAACCGTTCTATTTCCAAACAAAAAGAAAACAATACATAATAGCAGATATCACTGCCAATCACCCAGGAAAACAACTAAAATGGCAACAAAAACATCAGAAAAACTGCTCTGAAGTAAACATTATTTATTAGCAATCAAAGTGGAATGCACACGGTGCCCTTTACTGAGGACAATCTGTTGCAGCAATCGGCTTCATGCATGCAAGTATATTAAAATCCTCCCATCTATGCTGGATCTCTCGGGCAGAAGCAGGCAGAAAAAAAAAGCGTTTTGGCGTGCAACTACTCGCATACAGCGTTTTGAGGTGTGTGTGTGTGCATTGACGTATATTAGCTGTTATCTATTCCAGCCACTAGCATGAAACTTCCACACATATGCATGTATTTATGTGGATATGTGCATACATTTTGCCAGTAAGCTCCTCTCCAAATAAAGGTTTGGGGTTTTGAACGCTGCTCTAAAATACGCATCCAAACACCATAATGTGCATGGACACATTGGCTGAAATTAGAGCTGTGTTCAAACACATAAAACAACAACGTCTCATAGAGTGTATTTTTTCTGCCCCTGAGTCCAAGCTTCAGGGGACACCATTCAAATGTGTCAACTGTGTGAACTCTCATTGCAGGGTGTGGTGGTCGGGTTGTGTTAATATTGGCAGCTGCAGAAGTGAAATGTGACAGCACGTAGAAAGGAGACAAAAAGTCGAATAGGAATGGATGTATATGCTCTGTCACCAAATAGTCCTAATACAAGTATACAAAAAGGGCTAACAATGCATATTGCTATGTTCTTGGCTGCACCTAGATGATCAGTGATCTTCACTGAATTGTGGTTTATATTCCTGCATCTACAAACATTCCTGTAACAGATGTGATTATGTATGGCATTTAAAACATATAAAAGTTGTTTCTTCATGAATAGAGATAATTGGAAAAAAACTGCTTTTAATGAGTTGCAGAGCCTGGAAATACATCAGAGGCTGTCACACTGTACATTATGAACTGTCAAAGCATACATGTATTAAGTTAAATATAAAAGAAAGCCTTGTACTCCATCTCTTGGTTATACATGGGATTGCTTACAGCTGGTAATTAGCATGTCAGGAATGAGTTAAAGCTGCTTAGTACAAGCGAAAGAAGGGGGGGGGGGGGGGGGGGGGCCACCCTCCCACCC